AAAAACATGCAAATGAAGACTACAGGCCCCACAAGGGGTCTAAAGTAGCTATTACTACGTGCTTTATTATATGGACTACTTTATTTTCCTGACTTCAATAACATTTATTAAACTCAGATCTAATTTGAACTTGTTGCTTTTTTTGTAAAGAACCCCGAGATGACTTGTTGAGAATTTGCAATGTATAAAAAAACGGAGCTGCTTTTGTATATAAATGTGGTCCAACCCCGTTGAGACATGTGAGGGAGAGCTGTGTGCGACTCACAGTTCTGTGTAGGAGAGAGTTTTCTACAGTGTACGAAACAACATGGACATCATAAGTAGCCACGAAGCATTACAAACTGTAAACATGCAGCAGCTGGAAAACACACCGACAGCAAATGCAAATGTTCACATTGTTAATGGCTGGGCTACAGGGGGAAAGATGGTGAAAACACATAACACAAAGCCATGTTAAAGGTTAGTCTGCATAACTGAAGATAACAATTTACCTTTTCTTAAGCAGGATGCAAACTAACACGAAGATGGCAACTAAAATGACTACAGTGATGACAAAAAAAAAAAAACATTTAAGTTTAATTAGGATTACAAAAACAGTGATCATAAAGTCAACGTGTGCATCGAGTTGAGAAGTTTGATGCCATCCAGGCATTTAATCTCCTTTTCAATCTGCAAAAACTGTGCCAAGAACATCTGTGTTTTGTATACCATGCCAAGAAGCTGCTCTTAAAATGTTTGGAGCACATTACTGATCTCCAGATCTTGAAGAAGAAGAAGAAAAAAAAAGTCTTCCGAACAAACGAGCAAAAAAATAAAAAATAAAAAATAAAGTTTTGGTAACCACACATTTGCTAATTACTATAGTTTCTAAAATACAGAAGTTTCAATTTGCCTGTTTAAAACAATTTGTTAAAATTCACTCTTGTAAACTATCTGCCACTAGTACTTTATGTATAAACAGCAGCTGTATAAACTAATAAAACACATTATGACATGTAATGTGGTTAAATCTTTATACTGGTAGTAACAAATTAAATCAACTAGTGGAACCAGAAATATTCCTAGTCAAAAATATGTTTATGTTTTCAGAAGAACTGCATTATTTAACTACGAATAGGAAAAAAAACACTAACAAGAATACAAATAATTGCAGTAAAATGGTCAAATGAATCTGTAATGTTACTGTATTTTCTGGTCTTAGGTTTGCACATTAGTTGATAAAGAAGTGGATTTTGACTTTTAATAAACTGTAATCTTTGTATCACACATTGTTCTCCTGAGACTTTGCTAATCTTGTTAGAATCTGCGTAATCTCTGTATATTGTAAACAGACCAACGAAAAACAAAGTTAAAACTCACCGACAGCGACTATTATCCCTGTCCTAACAGCAGTCCCATTATCTGTGGAAAAGCAATAGTTAAGAGTAGACGGAAAAAAACAGAGCAAAAACTATTTTGAGATTGTAGATTTCTCATTTAAAAACTTACCACTGTCACCACCAGAAACTGAAAAAGAGGGATAAAGTTAAAAGATTAAAAATAAAAACAAACTCCATTTATACAGTACAGAATTAAGCATCAGTGTGAGGAAACTAGTAGCACGGTTGTGTGATCAGCTGTGAAGCGTGTCACAAAAGTGGCTCTGCATCAACGTCACGACACGTCACTACAGCGACCGCGCTCAGTGTTTAATCCTGAAGTAAACTCGAGCGCGTTGTGGATTACTGAGCCAAGGTTAGACTGCTGAGAATAAAAGTAAACCGGAACAGTTCTGCTGAAATTTTGGACGATTCCGTAATGATCAAAGATGACAAAAATCATAAATAGTATAAGAAATTTAAAGAGCAACTATATCATTCAAAACAAATGTTAAACTGCTAATGGCTATTTAGGGTCACCATGGTAACCACATACCTGGGTCACTCCCTGACAGCACTCTTCATAAGACAGGCAGACAGACACCAAAACTGTTTAAACCAGGGGTTCTCAAACTTTTTGGGTTCAGAGACCCCTCATAACCCTCATGTTTATTAAATAATTTTCTTCAATTTGGCTCTTTAATGTAATGGAAATATTTGTGTAACAAATACTTACGGTAAGACCTGTTCTTTAATAGTGTTAATACAATTTTTATACTTTTAAACATGGGCTATTTTTCATCCAAGACACTTACAAAATGTTTTATTTCAACTTTGAAAAATTACAGTTTAGAGAAAACTAAAAGCATCAAAAACCATTTTAAACCTTTACCTATTCACTTGTTTTTAACTCTCATAATAAACATAATAAATGTATTGTCACTTCTTCAAATTATTACAGAAAACTTCACATAAAACTGAACAGAATCATAACAGCAGTAGTCATACCAAGTCACAGGGCTTAATTTGTAAACCGATCAATGCCGAACACAAATAATGGGTGAGCGAGCTGGTGGAGGGTCTGGGGGCCCTTCCCCAAGAAATTTTGAATAAAGTAAATGTAATTTCCTGCATTTTAGTTTGATTATTAAACATCTACGTGCTTGTAAAAACATTTAAATGGGGGGAGGGGGGCAGAAGGCAAGCACTGGCTCGCGGACCCCTGGCACCCCAGTTTGAGAACAACTGGTTTAAACTATGAAGTGAACTTTGAGATATGGAGGTCCAAAAAGAACTCACAATCTATGTAAATAATGTATTTAAATGAAAAGATAAACCAGAGTTTAATCATCTAGACCAGGGCTATTCAACTGGTGGTCCATGGGCGACTTCAGTCCATCCCACCAAGGAGTTCATTTAAAAATAAAATAAAAAAATAAATAAATTGGGGGTGGTTCTGAGTTTGGCTTTTGTTTATTGCATTTATGATTCAATGTAATAAAATAATTTTAAAAAGGTAACAGATCATTGTAATACTTGTTTATTTACATAATGACTAATTGCTGGACGTCCGGCCCCTGAGCTGCTGGGTTTCTGAAACTGTGGCCCCCTGAGCTGTTTGGATGAATAGCCCTGGTCTAGACCAGTGTCTTTTTTTTTTTTTTTTATTCAAACCTAATGTCCACTTTAAATAGTTGGTTTGTAAAGAAAATAAAGAGCTAAAAATATTCCATGTAAACTTTTATTTCTGTTCTAAACTCCTTAAAAAAAAACATTTAGAAATGAAATAACTTTGGCTTGAAAAAACTAAAACTGCTAAAGGTTGGTGTACAAAAGCAAAAAAGTTATTTTAACTTTATCTCTAAAATACAGAAACACAAAAATGAAATGACAGTTAAAAAAAAATCCAGCACTGACTTTAACAGCAACAGGAACATTGGGAACAATTTGGGAAATTTATTTTTCTACAAATAAGGAGCCTTAGAAAAATGTTTGAGAACCACCAATTTGAAAAAAAATTGGTTTTCACACTGGATAATTTCTTAAGTTACATTTATCACATAACAGTATGTAACAATATGGGTCTAAATAGAAACCAGCTAAATGCACCCAAATAGCAAAAACTGAATTTCGATCAGAGTGAGTGAACCAACCTTCTTCACACTTAGATTTGCCCATCCATCCTTGGTCTCCACATGTGATTTCCTTCTCTCCAACTAATGTGTAACTAATTAGGATAATTTAAAAAAAGACAAAATTTTAAACTTAATATTTCACATAACACTGCCAGTGAGACATGCTCAAATACTCACTTTAACTAAACAGTAAAAAGTATGAACAACAATTCACTTCTGAGCTTTTCTGTATTAAAATGTAATCAAATATATTGATATCTCAATGTACTGATTGGCAAGACAGAGGGATCAGGTTCGAAAGGATGTGCAGCAGGTTAGGCTTATTAAAGATAAGAATGGTAATGTTTTAACAAGTGAGTGTAACAGGAAGATGGAAGGAGTATTTTGAGCTAATGAATGAAGAGAATGAAAGACAAAGAAGAGTAGAGGTCATAGAAACTGTGGACCAGGAAGTGGGAATGATTAGTAAGGGTGAAGTCCAGAAAGCTCTGAAAAGAATGAAGAAGGGGAAGGCAGTAGGACCTGAAGACCAGTGGAGGTTTGGAAATGTCTTGAAGAGATGGCAGTGAGGTTTTTAACTCAAATATTCAATGGCATATTTGAGGGTGAGAAAATTCCTGAGGAATGGAGAAGAAGTGTGCTGGTGTCCATTTTTAAGAAGAAGGGTGATGTACAGAGTTGTAGCAACTACAGAGAAATCAAGTTGATGAGTCACACAATGAAGATCTGGGAGAGAGTCGTGGAAGCTACACTTAGATGAGAAGTGACTATTTGTGAGCAGCAGTTTGGTTTCATGCCAAGAAACAGCACCACAGGTGCCATCTTTGCTTTCAAGATGCTAACGGAGAAGTACAGAGAGGGTCAGAAAGAACTCCATTGTCTCTTTGTGGATTTAGAACAAGCATATGACAGGGTGTTGAGGGTAGGGCATTAACAGAGTACTTGAGTAATCTACACATTGATTGCTAGGACATCTATCGAGGTTAAAAATTTAACATCGAGTATCCGTAGTGACGTCATATTATGTGACCACCGTAAGACCGTAGGGGGCGGTGTTGCACTGTTGCAGGTCACAGAGTATGGTGTAACACTGGGTCCAATCCACCGAACCAGAACCAGTTTCGGTTAAGTTTCGTTTTTGACGTGCTGCACGTTTCTTCACGTTTGCAGTTTAATAATAATAACTAATAGTTTAGTTTTTCCTGTGACTTATTTGCAGTATGATAAATGGTAGGAGCATAATATACGCTCCCAATGTTTTGTTGGTCTTTTTTTTGTGTAAATAATTACCTTTTTTTTTGCGGTTTTATTTATTTATTTATTTTTGTATCTTGAGATCTATGATGTCATCAAATACTCGAGTTCTACTCGGGTTTTATTATGTTAATGTCGAGTTTAAAAATTATATACTCGTTCAACCCCTAGTTGAGGGAGGAGGTGTGGTATTGTATGAGGAAATCTGGAGTGGCAAAGAAGTACTGTATGCTAGACTGGTGCAGGACATGTATGAGGACAGCAGGACAGTGGTGAGATGTGCTGTAGTGACAGATAGCTTCAAGGTGGAGGTAGGTTTCTTATGATGATGGAGGACAGGTTTCCTATGATGGCGAGCTACCATTAGGCTTCAGGCCCAAAGATCCCAGAGTCAGAATAATTGGATCCATTTTGTGCGGTAGGAGACGCTGTAGCCTGCTCCGTCCACACACACAAGAAACTTTACATACACGTGCTAAAGGCCCCTAAAGATTAAGTTAGTCTTTATTGACTTATTTAACTGTTTAAACCCCTTGAACTTATCTGGATTACTGACCTGGTCTTGGGATCTCGTGAACTGTGCCATGAGATGACTTCTGTTGTGACTTGGCGCTATATAAATAAACTGAATTGAACCGAACTGTGGGATTAATATCAGTGTTTGGATTTAGTCTGGATAACTTGGGAGATCTGTTCATTTTGATTTCACAATGAAATAATGAACCAGTTCATACATTGATGACAGAATTTTTTGTACATATTGTAAATAAATTTTCAGCCTTTATATAAATCTTGTGCACCATTTTCCTGTTCCCTGTGTGTTCTTAAATGCAACCATAATCCTTCTTGAGCCAAACTTTAGAATTGTCTGATAACTAGCCTACTACTACTGCTGCTGAGTGATTACCACTTGACCTCATCATTAGCACCTGCATCACACAGTATATGTTACATACTCACCCTGAATTACACGTGATCACAGCTTTATCACCAAACAGAGTTCCTCCACTGGAGTAGGTAATGGTTCCATGTTCCACTTCTGAAAGAGCACCACAGCTTTTCCCTGCAACAAGAAAATTTGGAATATTAAAGTCATCCTTTATAAATTACTGGTTAATTTAATGACAATGTTATATAGTCATGAGATAGTTACATTTAATGTTACTTAGGTCTGTAAAATGTTATTTACCAGTACTCAAGTGTGTAAAATTAAGACCTATCTTTTCGTCACTGATGTGGATGTAATAGTCTTAAAAGTCTTAACACAACAGTAAAAGGTGACAATAAAATATATTTTTAAAAAGTTTACCACAAAAATAGGGGTCAAAAGAGTTGTGCAATAGCAATTAGAACAACAGTGTATAATCATAATTATAGATGAATATTTATTTGGATTTCGGATCTGGATTTTTATATGCCAACTCAATTAAAAAAATAAAATAAAGGACATTATGTAAAACATAAATAAAAATGAAATGTAAAAAGTTTGTGAATCTCTCCATCACTTGTGATTAATGATCCGTAATTGGGTCTCAGAGGCAACAGGTCCTGGAGAGAAACCCAGACATCCCTCTTCCCAGCAACACTTTCAAGCTCCTCCTGGGGCACCTCCAGGGCATTGCTAGACCAAAGGAGATCAACAATCCCTCCAGTCAATTCAAGGTCTGCCCCGGGGCCTCTTACCTGTGGGCCATGCCCAAACCACCACTAAAGGGAGGTGATCAGGAGGCATCCTAATTAGATGAACTTCCTCAACTAACTCCTTTTGATGTGGAGGAGTAACTCATACTCCCTCTGGATGATGGAGCTCCTCACCCTATAAGACTGAGCCCGGCCACACTGTGAAGGGAGCCCATTTTCTTCACAACGAACGAGAACCTGGATACAAGTGGCTGACTGCTTGTACCCAGGTTCTTGTTCCTTCGGTCACGATCCAAACCTCATGACCAGGGGTCTGCAATCTGTGCCTCTGGAGCCACATGCGGCTCTTTGTCCTTCTGCAGCGGCTCTTTCAATCTTTGACCAAAACTAACATAAAACTTAATTTTATTGGTTGTTATGCAAACAACAATAAAGTAATAGTTTTAGCTGTTTTTCTGTCATTTATTTTGCAAATATGTGAATACTACAAGTACAAGGAGTAAAACATACTTTTAACTTTATGCTTCATCTCTATACTTAATTATTCGACAATTTAAAAAAAATTACACGTCTGCATAGTTCATAGTTTATATTAATTAAACTATTCCCCACCCCCACCCCAAAAAAATAAATAAATCTGGTATTTTAATTGGTCTTAAATTGTAAAAATATCAATAAATGTTAAAAACCATTAGATATTTTAGCTTTATAATGTCACCCCTATGGTGGCCACAGAAGCCCCCTCCAACAAACCTACAGTGGCCCATGGGCCACAAGTTGATAATCAGTTATAGCATGTTGTTGCGGCTCTGAACACTTTGAATTTAGCGAACAAAGGCATAAAAGTGGCTCTTTTGATCGTAAAGGTTGCAGACCCCTGCTCATGACCATAGGTGAGGGTTGGAACGTAGACGGACCAGTAAATCCAGAACTTTGCCTTTCGACTCAGCTCTTTCTTCACCACGACTGACCAAAGCAACTCCCTCATTACTGAGAATGAGGCCACAATATGTTGATCCATCTCCTGCTCCACCATATCATCACTCATGAACAAAATGCCCAGATATTAAAATAAATAATCTGTATACCTCTTTTATAATTGTCTGTTGTTTTTGTTGTTATCCACTGTTGTCATCACTCTTTGTTAAAAAAATCAGGTCTCTCTTGTAAATGAGTCCCCAAGGCTCAATGGGATTAACCTGTATAAATAAAGGTTGAATGAATACTTAAAAACTCCTAGACCTGAGGCAAAGACCCCCATCCCACCCCCCATCCAGACTGGGCAGTCCACTCCAGTTTCAGGTTGGAGCATAGTAAAATATGAAATATTTGAAGACATTTTTTAAAGAATTTTAAAGAAACAAAAAGGTCATTTTGAGTCTTACACTTATTTTAATTCATATTTTTGCCCACATTTTGACGCAGAACCCGAACATGAAGCCTTGGCTGAATGCAGAGGTTCTCACCCTGCTGGAAGCCAGGAACACTGCCATCAGGAATGGAAACTCTCAGGAGCTGAGAAGGACAAGGAAAGAGCTGGTTGCTGGTATTAAGAGGGCAAAAGCTGCATATGCACAGAGGATCCAGGGTCAATTCACCTCACAAGACCCACGGAGCATGTGGAGGGGTATTAAGTGTATAACAGATTATAAAGGCAGAGGTGAACAATGCCCTAGAGACCCATCACTGCTTGATGCCCTCAACAAGTTCTACGCATGCTTTGAAGGCCCAAACAGACCACCCAGCACCAGACTCGCCTCACCACTGGATGAAGAGCTTCTCAGCGTGACCTCAGCACAAGTAAGGAGTACTTTCAGGAGGATTAACACTCACAAAGCAACCGGCCTAGACAACATCCCTGGGAAGGTGCTAAAAGAATGTGCCGATAAGCTCTGCGAGGTGCTGGCTGACATCTTTAACTCCTCACTTACCCTGGCAACAGTTCCCACCTGCCTGAAGACCTCCACCATCATCCCAGTCCCAAAAAGCTCTACAAGGATTGGTCTGAATGACTACTGGCCAGTTGCCCTCACCCCGATAGTCGCTAAATGCTTAGAAAAACTGGTCATGACCCACTTCAAAACAACCATCAACATCAACGAGGACCCTCACCAGTACGCACACTGCAATAATCAATCAAGAGAGGACGCCATCTCCTCTGTGGTCCACACTGCCCTCACCTACCTGGAGAAGTAGGACTCCTATGTCCGTATGCTTTTTGTGGACTTCTGTCTGCCTTCAATATCATGATACCCCAAACCCTGATGGACAAACTACTCACACCAAGAATAAGCCCCTCCATAATTGCAACTGGGTCCTAGACTTCTTAACAAACAGACCACAGTCAGTGAGGATCCACAACTTCTCCTCCTCCATCATAACCCTCAGTACTGGCTCTCCTCAGGGATGTGTGCTGAGCCCTCTCCTGTTCTCTCTGCTCACGTATGATTGTGCACCTACCCATCCAGACTGTCACATTGTAAAGTTTGCAGATGATACAGAGGTGGTGGGATGCATCACAAACAACAATGAGTCCAGCTACAGGCAGGAGGTGGAACACCTGGAGACCTGGTGCAAGGAGAATAACCTTCACAACAATGAGAAGAAGACAAAGGAGATAGTCGTGGACTTCAGAAGGAACAAACCCACCTACCCCACCTACTGACTGACTAATATTGTTAGAATCTAGCCAAGCAGAAAGATGTGAGGTAGACATAGATCGCACATGCGAAGTCAGGCCAGTCTTCCTCATTCGGAAAAAAAATTCAGATTAAGCGTTCAACATGCTCACTGTTCGGAATATGAATAGGCATAAACCACCCGTCTCATTCCGATTACAAATTCATTCGGATCGAGCTGAATCAACAAAGAAGAATCCGAATGGGGCGTTTACATACGCATTTTTTTCCGAATGGCCATTTAATCCAAATACCGATACTCATGTCCTTGTAAACATAGCTACTGTTTTCTCTTTGGCCTTTAACTTGGCTTGAAATGTTGGTTTTTACTGTTTTTAAGTTATTTGTTTTATTGTTTACTCTGTTTGCTGTTTTATGATTTGGTAGTTTATTACTTTTATGGTATCTGTTGATTTTACAGTTTTTTATGCTTGTATGTGTTAGTGTACAGCTCTTTGGCCAATGGTGTTGTTTTAAAGTGCTTTATTAATAAAGTTGCATTGTACTGTATTGTATCCATCACAAAACTGAAATATACAAGTGGTAGAATTTACTTTTACAAACCAGCCGCAGAGCACTCCATGTCCCAGCAGTACAAGTAATGGTTGCAGGCCCTTCTGCAGGTGTGTAGCCAACATTACATTCAAAATAAACACTGGAGCCATCTGGAAATGTATTTTGCAGAACAGCATCCTCCATCAAATGCATGTTGGATCCACCAGATGGTTTAGAACAGCTTTTAGCTTAAAAAAAATAAAGAAAAAATTAGAGAATTAAAAGCAAAGCAGTAAAAATGTGAACTGTGAGCGAGGACTGAAGAACAGTATTAACATGCCCCATGTCATGGGTTAAACTCACCTTGAGCTGCCAAGTGACATAATAAATAACTCACAAACTAAGTAAATAAAGAAATTAAATAATTCCACGTGCATAAAAAAAATAATTGCTTGTGGAAGTAAAATAAAAAAAAAGTTCCATGTAAATGCTCATTTCTGTTCTAACTCCACGCAAAATAAATTAACTTGTTTTAGGGTAATTGAAATAAAAAAAATGAAAGATTTCAGTAGCTTTGTTGTGACAAAACCAATAAACTGCTGAAAGTTGGTCAACATAAGCAACGTTTCTAACTTTAACATCTAAAACAATAAAAAAAACTATTTGAAATAAACAAAAACTACAGAGTATTTAATCGATTATTCTGTCAATTTAAATTCAAAAACCATGATGAAAATACATAATTTAATTTTTTAAGAATTGGTCTGCATTTTTAAAGAATGTGCCAGTTTTGGAGTCATGCTGTTTAAATCTAGAAAATTTAAATTCACAAATATCACTCAGCCTGGTCTTATTGAGCAGAAAACGTGAAGCCTCTAATCCTTTTCGTTCAAGACTTACCTCTGCAAACTGGGAGTTCAGGTGACCACTGGCTGTTTATGTTACATGTTATGGTAGACTGGCCGATCAAGTCATATCCAGTTTTACAGATGTACTTTATTGAAGCAGAAATTTTATGTGGAGGTCGAGAACCCTCAACAAACTCACTGTTTGCTATCGCAGGATCTTGACATTCAACCCCTGCGAACAAACATAAAAAGGTAAAAATTTAAAATGACAATGCTACAACTGCAAATAATAGGAATGTTCAGACTGAAACACTTACAGACACATTTAGGAGGGTCAAGGTGGAATTGTTCATCTTCAGAACATGTTAATTCTCTTGATCCATTGAGTGTAAATCCAGTGTCACAGACATAACGTACAACGTCTCTGTAAGTGTACGATTCCTTCTGTGGGTTGAAAACTCCATTTTCAATTTGTCCTGGTCTAGAACAAGTCACCACTGCAAACCAAAAGCATATTAATTAGATTTCAAGCCAAAAGGGATTTTTAATTTTATTAATTTTTTTTTAAACAAAATGTGTGAACCAACCTTCACAAACAGGAGGCCTGTCCATCCATCCTTGGGCTCCACATCTGATTTCATTTTTTCCAACTAGTATATAACTAATTAGGAGTATTTGAAAAAAAAAAAAAAAAAAAACGAAAAAAAAAATGTTTAACTTAATATTTCACACAACACTGACAGGAAGATGCACAGATGTACACTCACTTTATTTACACAGTAAATATTATGCATTACATTTTACTTCCAAGCTTTTCCACATTAAAATGTTTGTTTGTTTTATCTCTCTCTCTCTCTCTCTCTCTCTCTCTCTCTCTAGAGGGCCCCTCTGGGTGGAGTTTGCGTGTTCTCTCCGTGCATGTGTGGGTTTTCTCCAGGTACTCCAGTCTCCTCCCAGAGATCAAAAACATGCATGTTAGGCTGAATGGTGACTCTAAATTGTTCCAAGGTGTGAGTGAGGGAGTGAATGGTTGTTTGTCTCTGTGTCCCTATGATGGACTGGAGACTAGAGCTGTCATTTCTAATCCAGAGTGGGTCAGACCATAATAACGTGCTTAATGTGTGGGTCGAGTTTTTTATTGCGTCAGGGACGCGCGAGGCCGACGATCCAATAAATGCAAACATGGCTTGCCATACTACACCAGCCGCATGCGGTCATTTGACCACACGCTGAACGGCTGGTTGAAAGAGGTAAAAAAGGTCAGTTAAGCTTCAGATGGACTACTGCCAGTTATCCATCAGCCCAAATGGACGTTCATACAGCCTCTGCACTCAGCGGACGCGCACGGCCTATGACCCAAACAGGTGAGATCACAAAATATCCGACATCAGAGCTGCAGGGTTCAATTCAGGCAGATGCAGGGGAAGCATTCAATGCGCTTTGACGACTCCTCAGCTCCGATCTTCTGCCCCCTCAGCCGCGCGCATCCGCCAACCATTAATAACAGTCGGTGGTATAAGCAGTCAAAGCTTAATTAAAAATGACCGGCAGCTTTCGGCTTTGGACCTGTAATTACTGTTAATTCGTCGGATTGGGTGGAGTTTGGAGATGGCTAAGGCAGTTCGGATTAATTGGACCCGAGTGCAACTTTACTGGAGATCTGTCCAGGGAGTGCCCCGCCTCTCGCACAGCAATAGCTGGACATGGGCACCAGTGACCCCCATAATCCGAAAAGGAAAGAAGTGGGTAAAGCTAATTGATGGATGAATGAAATATCACTAAAATTAGAAACATCTTATTAAAAAATTATGCAGAAAAACTGATTCATGCATTTGTTACGTCTAGACTGGATTATTGCAATGGTTTAATATCCAAATACTGGATTATTGCAATGGTTTAATATCCAAATACTTCTTTAAAACGTCTTCAGTTGATCCAAAATGCTGCTGCCAGAGTCAACTGGAGTTAGTAGGAGAGATCATGTCTCCAGTTTTAGTTTCTCTTTAAAATTAGTGAAGAGCAAAGTCCAAAGAAAAATGTTGAAATTAATTCAGAAAGGGTAAAGAAATATTACTTTATACTTTAGTTTGAAAGTCATGGACTTCTTAATTTTTTAAAATTTAAAGAAATGAAGGATAACTCAAGACATTTGGACAGTTGTGTCCGTTGATAATAATTTGTTGATCATGGACACTAAATACCCAAACATCTTAAAATGATCGTTGTAATTAATCACTTTGTTACTCACCCTAAATTACACGTGACCACAGCTTTATCACCAAACAGAGCGTCCCCATTGGGGTAGTCAATAGTTCCATGATCCACTTCTGGAAGAGCACCACAGCTTTTCCCTGCAACAAGAAAACTCAGAATATTAAAGTCATCTTTTATAAAATACTGGTTAATTTAATGGCGATGTTATATAGTCATAAGATAGTTACATTTAATGTTACTTATGATTTTTTATAATCATTTTTCTTTCAGCTGCTCCCTTCTTCAGGGGTCACCACAGCAAACTAAGTCGCACAAAAACTTGACAATTGTTTTTATGCCGGACGCCCTTTGACACAACCACAGACCACCGAGCTCCCACAGCCCTCTGTGTGGAGCAGAGCTGCCATGTAGGGTGCCCGGGGGAGCACATGGTGGGGTTAAGGGCCTTGCTCAAGGGCCCAGAGTGGGGCGAAGGAGGGTGGAGCCAGGTGTGGGTGCTTCACCTTTCCCACCCATATTTTGATGTTTTTGGCCCGGGGAGTTAAATCACCGACCTTTAAGTCACAGGCACACCTTCTCCAACCTCTGCACCACCACTCCCATTTAGTGTTACTCATGTCTGTAAAATGTTATTTACTCAAAGGCTTTAAATTAGAAAAAGAAAATCCTATTGTCACTGATGTAAACATAGAATTATGCTAATTAGAATAAAAATATTTATGATCAGAACTACAGATGGATAATATTGCACATTTCTATATGAATAGATTTGTATGTACAAACTCAATTCAAAATGTTGGGTCTTTGTGTCAAATGTAAAAAATTGAATGGAATGGTTGCAGACCCCGAAGCCATTTTTTATTGAACATAGTAAAATATCAAATGTTTCAACTAAAAACAGATGAGATTTGAATGTAACAAAGTACAATATTTCAAATAATACAGTAACAAAAGCAAATGTTAATTACTTTACGCTTCTTCTCATGCCATAGCCAATAATGCACCCCCACACCATCAGAGAGGCGAGCTTTTGAACCGTGCATTGAGAACAGACCTGAGTGTCCCTCTCCTCTTTAGAATAGAGGTCATGGTGTGCGTAGTTTCTAAAACAACCTTCAAGTTTTGATTTATCTGATCACAGAACAGTTCTCCACTCTGCCTCAGTCTATTTTAAATGAGCTTTGAACCAGAGAAGTCGACTGAGTTTCTACATGGCGTTCACATACAGCTTATTCTTTGCATGATCGAGCTTTAAGCAGCATTTGTTGATAGCCAGGGAACTGTGCTTTAAATACAATGATTTGTAGAAGTGTTCCTGAGCCCATGCAGTGTTGTTTAAAATAAAATCAGACTGATTTTAATGCAGAGGCCCCTTGAGCTTGAAGATCCCCGCCTTGTCCGGTGAGCTCAGAAGTTTCTCCGCATTCTTGAAATCTTTTAATCATAATATGAACTGTATATGATGGGATTTTCAAATTTGCCGTAGACAAATATGTTTCAGTAGGGATGCATGATATCATCAGCATGGCATCGGTCAATATTAACGTTATAGTTCAATACTGGACATCGGCCATCCCATCAAAAGAATAAGATGGTGTTTTTGTAGGACAACCCAGTGACAAGGATGCCTGCAGCGGCAGCACGTGATGACGTCACGCACGCTACCTGATCTGATCACAGCGGAGAGGAAGAAGTTAAAAATGTCGGTGGTGTGGAAGTTGTTTTCGTTGAGGAAATTGGATTCCGAAGATTTACGGACTACGTTGAGCCTCGCTACATCGTCCCCAGTTGAAGATATTTTTCCCGACGTAGCCTTACCCGAGTTACAAGCCGTCATTTCCGACATCATAACAGCCGATAGCACGACTTGTTGGGTGAGTTTTACCACGGACATTTGGACGTCGTGTTAGCCCCGTTTAACATGATTAGTCTTACGGCACAATGGATGGACAAAAACTTTGAACTTAAAGAGATGAAATTAAAAGAAATTACAATTAGAAAGAAAATAAATTAAAAAGGTTGTCCTTCATGCACAGGAGTGCAGAGGATCCCACACTGCAGCTATAGGAACCTGGAACAAGCCTCCACAAGTGAGACGTCGCAGGTGACTAATGCTAATAAATAACATTTAACACTTTTCATTTAATATAAGTTAAAGTGCTATGCATATCATATGGCTGTTACTGAATATATGTCACCAGCTCTTACAGGGGCGGCTGTGGCTGAGTGGTTAGAGCAGTTGTCCTCCAATGAGAGAGTTGGGGGTTCGAATCCACCAGCAGTCACATGCTGAAGTGTCCCTGGGCAAGACACTGAACCCCTCAGCCTCTGATGTTTGTCCCATCGGTGTATGAATGTGATAAAGCACTGATTAGTCTCTTTAGATTGATTTGTTCAATTAGCTTTGTGGAGATCTAGTAGAGTGCTGTATGAATGGGTAAATGAGGCACAGATTGTAGTGTGAAGGCTTTGAGTATCTTGAAATAAGATAGAAAGGAGCTATATAAGTACAGCCCATTTACCATTTACAGCTGTTACACAATGTTTGTAGCAAATAAGCCTAAATAAGAAAGAGGGCTATGTTCTGACAAAGGAAAGTATATAAAAAAAATTGGTATTGGTTATCGGCCAAATAAGTTTGAACATATCAGATCGGATATTGGCCAAAAATCCAATACTGTGCATCCCTAGTTTTCAGGAGTTGCTGCACTATTTTAGACAGTTTTTCACAGACTGGTGAACCTCTGTCCATCTTTAACTCAGAGATTCAGCCGCTCTAAATCTTTTTTTTTTTTTTTTTTTAAATACATAGTCCTCTTACCAACATGGTGCCAAAAAAACCTCCTCTATACGTTTCTTATTTGAACCACTTATGTTTACATCCTTTTGTCACCACTATACCACTTCTTTGGAGGCAGCATGCTGCAATTAATTGTACTGTGTAGAAACATTTGTAATGCTCATTATGTTTTATTATGTATTCAATGTAACATTTTACATTTGTAAATTGTTGCATTGCTTTTAATTACAGTTTACACGTTATCTAAACTGGTTTAGAATTGAGGATGTACTGCCGTTTCAAATTTTTTAGAGAAATAATAGCACAATACAGTTTAATGCGGAAGTGAAATATATAATTAATGAGTATTATTCACTTTCACAAACCAGCCGCAGAGTACTCCACTTCCCAGCAGTACAAATGATGGTTGCAGACCCTCCTGCAGATGTGTAGCCAACATTACAGGCAAAAGAAACATTGGAGCCATCTGGAAATGTATTCTGCAGAATAGCACTGTCCTTTAAACTCATGCTGGGTCCTCCAGAAGGCTTAGTACAGTTCTGAGCTGGAAAAAAATTAAAAAGTTTAGGAGAAAACAGACATTTTGTGATGGATAGGATCTGGTCCACACGCTCGTGTCCTGGGTTGAACTCACCTTGAGCTGTGAAGGCAAGACTGCCGAGCAGGACGAGGGCGGCGACACGCATGGCCGGAACCGACAGTAATCTGATTACAAGTCCTGCCTGCAAACAAAAACAACAACCTTGAAATATAAAAGAAACATTTTTTTTTTAAACTTTGATTAGATTACACTCAAGGAGGTCTATCACTTTAACAAGCTTATAAACTAAAGGCCATTCGTGTTGCTTTAAATACAAGTTCCCCGTTATGAAGATTAAAAGTTAATCTTTTAACGCTCAACTTGATTTCACAAGCAGATTTTTAAAGCGAACAAAAACTACGTAATAACTCTTGACTGGAGAGTCTACATAACTCGGGACGTCTCTCTAATCCTTACAAAGCTCGACTGACACATTTCCCACCAGGACCGCAGGCAAATTCGACTAAATTCACAAAAAGTGCGAGAATCAACGCAGAAACACGTATAGCTTTCATGATGTGGGCTAAACGCGACACAGAAACAACACTGCTGCTCTGGAATTAGCTTTAATTTCATTCGTGTTCGGGAAATTAAATTTAAAATGTTCACCAAAATGTCTGAATCTGCCAACATCCGTAAACTTTAAATGGGTAAACACGCAACAGGAACGGCTGGTTGGTTAAAAACAAGCTAACGTGACACAACAAACTTTACTAAACCACTTAATTTGTTTTTTTTTTTAATTTAGTAGTGAGAAAGCTGAAGTAAATTCGGGCTTACCCCTAGAAGAAGAACCAATGTTCGGATATGTTTCCTAATTACGATCACTGTTCGTCATAGGAAATAGAAGTGGGTGTAGCAGCACTCTTCTTCTTCTCTTTTATTTCCGTTTTTATACTTCTTCTTCGTGGATTTTATCGGCGGCTGGCATTCATGTAGTGTGAATTACCGCCACCTACTGGTATGGAGTGTGGTTCAGAATGTCTATTGTGCAGTTATTCTAATTATCAACACTAATTTTCTAATACTTTCACTCTCTGATTGTTTATGTAGTATAATTATTACAATAAATGTTTCTTTATTACTTCTAAATTCATCCACCATACATCTCTCTATTTGTCATACTAACATTACACTATTGTTTCACTTGCTCCACAATTCTGACAATTTTCAGTTAGGTACATGTGGTGGAAGAAAATTGTGTACGCAGGGTCCCATTTACATCCAACAAAAGTATTAAAATGTAAAAGAAAAACAGTAATACGATCTAAGATATGAATTAAGAAAAACATATAACTAAAATACACTAAGCACTATTAGTAAAGTAAAAACAATACGCCAAACAGCAGCACGGACATGTGTCTGTGTGAGCAGATGAGCATGAATGGGCAGCAACATGAAACAGATCAGCAGCAACATGAAACAGATCAGCAGCAGCATGATGTGATTTTTCACAATGATTATCCTGGTTAGAGATTCATAAGTCTAACAGCCTCAGGGTAGAAGCTGTTCCTCAGTCTAGTGGTTCTACACTTAATGCTCTTCAACCTCCTTCCTGAGGGGAGTGGGCCCAAAAGTGTGTGTGCTGGGTGAGTGAGGTCCTTCATGATGCAAGTGGCCCTCTTCCTGCATCTGGAGGTGTAGATGCTTGTGATGGTGGGGAGGCTGACTCCAACAGTCTTCTGTGCAGCCTTCACCACTCTCTACAGAGCTTTTCTTTCTGCAGCTGTGCAGCCTCCATGCCACACGTTGATGGTGGAGCACAGGATGTTCTCCACTGCACACCTGTAGATGGAGGTGAGGACTGAGCTTCTCAGTCCGGCTCGCCTCATCTGAATGAGGAAGTAGAGTCTCTTATGTGTTTTCTTGATCAGACTGGTTGTCATTCAGGTGCACACTCAAGTATGTGTAGCTAGAGACCATGTCCACCGCAGATCCTCCTATGTGCAGGGTGGGGTGGTGGTTGGGGGTGGGGGGGTATAAGTGTGTTTGCTCGAAATCCACCATCATCTCCTTTGTCTTCTCCACATGGATCTAGATGTTGTTTTTCATGCACCAGCTCTCTAGGTGTTCCACCTCCTCAAGCGCTGGTGTCATTAAGAACAACAACACCCACTTCTCCACGGTGAACAGCTAATTAGCTGCAGCAGGAAGTTTATCCTGCAGTATGGGCTGCACAAATGTGCAACAGGTGGTAAATAATTAAAAATAATTTATTTTAAATAAAAATTCCATGCAGATCGTGCAGTTCATCCATCAATCAGCCAGTTGTGTGTCATGTCCAATCTTATTTTGAAAAACTGCGATAGAGTGAGTCTGCAATATATATATATATATATATATAGTGGATATAGCACCCCCCCCCCCCCCCCCCACACACACACACACAAACACACACACTCACCAGCCACCACTGCTTAGGAGCAGCTGACCACATGACCTGAGGGATCGAGAGGGTGTGTGATGTAGCAACTCAGACAGATAGGGTGGGGCAAGTCCATTTAAAGCTTTAAAAGCAAATAAAATAATTTCAAACTTAATCTTTAATGTACAGGCATCCAGTGTAGGGAGGCTAAAACAGGAGAAATGTGGTCAAACTTTTGTGTGCCAGTTAAAAGTCATGCAGCAGCATTCTGTACCCTCTGAAGCAAAGAGATACAGGAATCACTGATTCCTGTATAGAGTGCATTACAGTAGTCCAGCCGAGTTGTCACATAGGCGTGAACTACCGTTTCGAAATGCCGCTGTGAAAGAATCGGCTTTACTTTAGCCTGGAAAAAAAATAGTTTTAACAACTGCTCTGATGTGGTTTTATAACTTTAGTCCAGCATAAATTTTGACCCCTAAGTTTGTAACAGTCAGCCTGATGTACTGGGACAAGGAACCAACATCTACATTGGGAGTCTCAGTGGAGCTTCCAAAAACCATCACCTTTGTCTTTTCATGAAAACAGACGCCCTGAGAGTCATAGTCTTTTTTCTTTAGCAGGACATATATCTGTGTATCATCCATGTAACAATGAAAGGAGATTCCATATTTTCTAAAAATAGAGCCAAGAGGGAGCAGGTACAGCGTGAGGAGGAGGGTCATAAGACTGAGCCCTGTGGAACTCCACACAAGAGAGGAGCAGAGGAGGACACATGGTTGCCAAGGCAGACACAAAGTACGCTCCACTAATAGGGCCTAAACCAGTCCAGTGCTGTACCGCTGACACCAACCCCCTCCCCCCATTACTTCAAACGACAAAGTAAGATGTTAATGTCCCTGTAACGTGCCCTGAGATGACTTCTGTTGTGACTTGTTGCTATATAAATAAACTGAATTGAATTGCATTAAATTGAATGTTATGGGGGCAGCACAGTGGCGTAACTGGTAGAGCTGCTGCCTCTCAGCGAGCAGGTCCTTGGTTCAAACCCCGGTCCAGGGGCCTTTCTGGGTGGAGTTTGCATGTTCTCTCCGTGCATGCGTGGGTTTTCTCCGGGTGCTCCGGTTTCCTCCTACAGACCAAAAACATGCATGTTAGGCTGATTGGTAACTCTAAATTGTCCCTAGGTGTGAGTGAGAGAGTGAATGGTTGTTTGTCTTGTTTGTCTCTATGTGGCCCTGTGATGGACTGGAGACCCATCCAGGGTGTACCCCGCCCCTCTCACAGTGATTGCTGGACATGGGCACCAGCGACCCCGTGACCCAAAATGGAACAAGCAGGTAAAGATAATGGATGGATGGATGTTGTGGTCCACTGTGTCAAAAGCAGCCGATAAATCCAAAAGCAAGAGGACAACACAGTCACCAGAGTTGGTTGCTAAAAATATGTCTATGTCTTTGAAAACTTTAAAAAGGGCAGATTCTGTACTGTGTAAAGATATAAAACTAGACTGTAAAACCTAGAAAATGTTCTGGTTTTTTTTGTTGTTTTTTTTTCAAATATGCTGATGGTTGTACACTACCTTCTCGAGAATTTTTGAAAGAAACGGCAGTTTAGAGATTCTGAGGAGGAAAAGTGAGGAAAACCTCTTTAAATAAACGAGGAGGAATAGCATCTCTTGGTGAACCTGTTGGCTCTAAATGACTAATTACCTGCTGCAGAGACGACAGAGTCACAGGTTCAAAGCTTCAAAAACAGCAGAGCAGGGCACAAAGACTGAGGGGTCATGAGCAGAAGGTGAAATCTGGGCTTATCTTTCTCAAATAAGAAATTTAGAACGTTTTCACATGCAGCAGGTGAGGATTCAATACAGTTTGTTGGTGGTGCATTAATAACAGAACCACTTACTTTAAATAGAACATGAGGATTGTGACTGTTTGATACAATCACATTAGACAGGTATTTTCTTTTAGCATCTTTCAGTTTTTTTGATAATGACGCCAGCAGTCCTTTAATATTTGAAACAACACCTGTAATGTGTCCGCTTTCCACCTGTGCTCGGCTCTGCGACACTCTCTCCTGACCGCCCGAGTGTCGTCATCCAACCAGGGTTCTCACTTGATTTTAGGAGGTCTGATTTTTAATGGAGACACAGAATCCAGATCCCTTGTGCAGGTGGAGTGAAACCATGAGCTGAGAGCCTCGGTGTTGTTGGTCTCTGGGATGGAACAGTTCTGATTAAAAGCAGATGAAAAGTGACCAGCAGTGGAAGAGTTCAGAACACGACAGAGTCGAGCTGCAGCGCGGGGTTTAGCTTTAGTGCAGGACAAGTTAATCTCAAATAAAACGGGCATGTGGTCAGAAATCACAGGATCACTACTCACTACATTAAAAGTTTATAAACCACAAGATAAAACCAGATCCACATTGTGTCCATGTTCATGTAGGACCAGTCACAGACTGCACAAGATTAAAATAGTCAATGATGTTTAAAAAGGAGTGAGCCATGGGTAAAGCAGGACAACACACGGATATTAAAATCGGCAACAATGAGAACTCGGTCATACTTTGGCATAATTTCAGCCAAAAAGTCTGAGAAGTAATTTATAAAATCCTTATTGTACTTGGGAGGCCAATAAACAGCACAATGTGGGAGGTGCTGAGTTCAAATAGGCTGTGCTCAAAGCTGCTGAATGAAGATGGAGGCAGCTGTTTACAGTCAAAACAACCTTTAAAGACAGTCACTATTCCTCCTCCTCTACCCGACATCCGTGGTGAATTAAAATAGCAGCAATCCTGTGGTAAAAGGTCCATCAAAACCCTGAACTCACCTGGTCCACCTGACCACAATTCTGTTATCAATAAGAAGTCTCATCCTTGAGATAAAAAGAAATAGTAATAGTAAATGGACTGCACTTATATAGCGCCTTTCTATCATCAAAATACTCAAAGTGCTTTTCACTACAATCTGTGTCCTCATTTACCCGTTCATACAGCACTCATATACTATGTCTTTAGACTAATCAGTGTTTCGATTTCATTCATACACAGATGGGACACACATCAGAGGCAATGAGGGGTTCAGTGTCTTGCCCAGGGACACTTCAGCATGAGGCTGCTGGTGGAATCAAACCCCTAGCTCTCTCATTGGAGGACGACTGCTCTAACCACTCAGCCACAGCTGCCCCAAATATTTTGATGCAGAGCATCTTTTCCCTTTGTGTTTTTTATTGGTGGTTTTATAGATGGACAGCCTAATTTAGGTGACATTAACTGCAGCACTGTGGGTTATAGCTGATCACAGGACTATGACCCTGGCAGACAACGATAAACAAGCCGCTGTTTTCAGTAAGCTAGTGATGGACTAGTTTCTCCAACCTGCAACGGGAGGTTGGCTTGAAACACAGCAGTGAAGGCTACCTATGGGATGGATTTGGTTGGCAGGCTGTGGACTGAGGAAGTCCTCTGGATGGGGGATGGAACATTTCTCACTTAAAGAAGCTGGTCCAGATGACAT